GTAATGGCCTAAAAAAAGGTGATTTTTGGGAATTTTTATTAAAAAAAGACACTTTATCAATTATTTCAAAATTTTATTTATACATGTTTCAAGAATATACAGTGAATTTTTTGAAGAAAAAATTTTAATATTTTTTAAGTTATAGTCGATCTCCAACGGCGCGAAAAAAAAATTCCTTCACTGCTGCAGTGATTTCGGCCTTTTTCCGTGAATGAAATTAAAAAAAAAAATTCTCGTTAATCTAGATAATATTGTTTTACAATGACCGACGATAAAAAAAAATTAAAAATTGATAATATGGCTCCGTTTTAAAAAAAATAGTCGAATTTTACCCAAAATTTTGGTCGTTTTCGGCCTGCCAAAATTCGATTTTTTGATCAGATCAAAAATCGATAGGTCATTGTACGGAGAACTATATATAGAACATGTAAAAAAAAATCGACAGTCATCGGATCATTTGTTTTTGAGTAATCACTGCAGAAAATTCTTAAAATGCTATTTCGAGAAAAACGGGTTTAAAGATAATGTGATTATTATCTAACTGCCGAGCGGCTACTCTTTTAAATGGCTGTAACTCAAAAACGATTTCAGATATCGATTTGAAATTTTAGTATGTAATTTTTAAAGGTATATCCTATTGAAATATGAAATGGTTTTTTTTGTTAAATTTCACACTAGGTGTGACCCCTTAAAATGTTTGGTTTTAATTGAGGTTAAAGAATATTTTAAACTTCATTGTGATTAGAATAAATATGAATTTATATTATATTAAACTTTACTAAAATGTTAGGTTTCTAAAGAAAATTTTCGGATTTTAAAATCAGTTATGCTTGAAGTGGATAAGGGTTAAAAAATTAGTTACGAAAATTGAAAATTGGACAAACAATTTATAGTTTAGAGAGTGGTCTGGTGACAATTCTAGATTTCATTTAATTTGGCTATGATAGCTTTCGATAATAACGATGATTTGTTGTCGAACTTTTTAAAAATATATGTCCATTTATGCACACATATCTAAAACAAACTTGCGGTAGTGAAATGCGCAACTTTTGCAAATTGTTTTTATTACTGTAGTTTGCAGGCAATTTATAACMGCAACGGTTCTTGTTGTGACAATCTTGCCGATCCGGAATATGTTAGAAGCCAACTAACCTAATTTAATTCTATCTACAATGCACCGCAAACAAGTTGATTTCAACCGATGATAGCGGGTCAATCATTTCCACCGCAGATACTAAGCAACCCAATTATTGCTATATACATATGCGTATGTACAACAGATTAAATGAATCTTTCAGTTATTTATGTAATATTATCCATCGAAATCACTAGAGACCATTYTATTAAAATTTTGCTTTTACATTAGTAAAAAAAAGTTATTATTTACACTTGCCGTTTTGACCTAAACACACCAAAAGTGGAAAAAAAGACAAACCATTTTTAGATACTCCTTTCATTTAGTTGATCTAAAGGCTACTTTTACGTCCAAAAATAATTTTGTGTCATATATTTTATATTATTTTTTATTCTACATATTTTGGGTTAACCTCAATTATTTCCAAAAGTTTGGAAGAAAGCACGGATGAAAAAAATTATTGCTTTAATATAATAGTAACTGAGCTAAAAGAATTAACTTTTTAAAGATTAAAACTATTCCCCTTAAAACTAATAGAAAAGCTTTCAAAAAACGACAAATAAAATATTCTAATAAATCGTGGACTATTTGTTGATGTACAAAAATCGCATCGAAAAGCTGGAAAATCACTAGAATCGCAGTAGTAAAGAAAATAATAATAAATGATTGACGATTCATTGTCGCGAGAATACGTTTTTAATGAATCAGAAAGTTATTTTGGACCAGATACCGGATTATGAAAACTAATACTAGAGGTGCTACATTATGGTGGCCAGCTTACGTTCTGAAGCCCACCCCACAATTAAAAAGAGGAATAAACTTAGGGGCTTTTATTTCAGCTGTTCAAATAAAGCAACTATTGCTATTGAAAACCAAAATATTAGCAAGGCGCACACTCTACTACACATTCTTTGGCGTATGCTCATATCGATTACCTACTTCAAGTTTCAACGAGCACACAAAAACCGTTAAAGTGGGTTGAATCAACAATTCATTGAAATAAAACCGCCTACCTGCTGTACTAAATGCTAAAAATTAGTATAACACACTGCAATTGTACCTTATATCATATATACATGTATTTGAAGTGTTCGAAAACATACATAATAACATATGTGCATATTCATATATACATATATACTTGTATATATTAGATTTCTACGCCCGCCCCTACCTAATAGCAGTTGTAATTTGAACATATATAGTAATAGTATTAATAAATATTAAAGATAGTTTTTAGTACAACAACAGTGGACAAAGTCAATTGGTGGCGAATGATTGTCTGTGGATAGAGCTTATTATAGTATTATGGAATGGGTAAATTTTGATCATTAGGTAGGTTGCCTTTTATATATCGATATTCGAGAGCAGAAAAAAATTTTATTTATCGAAAATCGCTTTATTGTTTTTCGAATTTTCCCCATTAAAATCTATATACTTTAGCACTATGCATTTTATCTACAAAACATGCCTTTTGAACGCTTCGACCGCCCGTTTAGGTGTCGAAAAACGTTAACCTCTTAGTTTATTTTTTACGAGCGGGAATAAAAAGAAGTCATTCGATTCCATGTCAGGACTTTACGGTGCTTTACTCATCAAATCGATCTTTTGAGTACTCAAAAATGCAAATGTTTCAGTCATAGAAGTATTTCGCCGCGCCACTTTTCTCCACCTGTCGAAAGGAGCCTTTTTTTGAGCGATCGACAAATTGCGTGGGATCCAACGGGAACAAATTTTTTACAATGTTCAATTTTTCGAAAATGTTCATGCAATATTGAATGTATGCTAGTCTYCCTAGGCTAAATAACGAACTTGTAATATCAGTTTGTGCACGGCACCTACGAACTTGATTGAATTCATAATACCGTCGATGACCACTGGTCCTTGATGGAGCTTCTTCGTCAAAAAATGTAATTAAGTTGATCTATGCATGCGTGATGACTTCATCCTCGTCGAATGTTATAAAAAATAATAGGTCGAAAATGTTGAAGATTTAATTCCATTTTTTCGTAGAGAAGAATATTTTAAATTACTGTAAATCATACAAATAGCAAAATACAAATATGTCAAAACGTTTTGAGTATGCATACCATCAAAAATGTCAAACTCTACTATAAAATTGTAGGTTTCCAGTTGCAACACTTGTGTTGCCAAATCTCGAAATATAAGAGGCAACCTACGTAGTATGTACATTTGTAAAACACATACATATAAACACTTGTATACCCCATATATCTACATGCAATGCAACTATGCACATTTGGTTTGTTGCAAGTAATGTTGTTGCTATTCTTTTGATGGTATTGTATTTGTAACCTCAATAAAAATCATTTGAAAAATGTGGTTAAGCTCAGAGTCATGCATAGATTTCTTCTCTCCTATGATTGTGATCCACTAACACTACTATCGTCACTAGTAGATTGCAGTATACAACTCTACATGCTGAGTATTCCAAAACGAAAAAGAAAAAAATATCTAAAACAGCAATTTAATGAAATGTCAAAATGGTCCGAATGACAATTTGTTTAGTAAAGAGCATTACGAATTCAAACAAAAGCAAACTTTTTGTTTGCTGTTATATTTATTTTGTTTTAAATCTAAGTGAGGTTAAGTGGAGTAAATGAAAATTTGCCAATAAAGTTATTTAGATATATATTGCCTATTGAAATGCAGTAGTATTATTAATTTCGGCAGACAAGTCCACAAAATACAACGTCAAAAGATGCCTCTTCATGCTATGCTCCATGACTGGGACTGTGCTAGTATAAGAGCACTCTCGTTCATGAGCTCTTACCCATTTTGTTAATATTGAGAAACCTGTGTAGTTTTTATTAGCAATTTAAAATACATTTTCAAAATTGTTATTGTTTATGAAACTACCTTTTTCTAATGGGCTTAACTAGATGATCATACTGTCATTTATGGTATATTAATATTTAACAAATCTTCAAATATATTAAATTATCAAAAATAAAAGAAAACTATAACTTTACGGACAAGCCTTTCCTGCAAGTAAGCTAAAAAGCCTTCATAATGTTTAAAATAGTCTTTTTGTCAAGAAAAAGTTTCCAATATCACCCCCCCAATAATTTTTTTATTTAGATAGTGAAGTTCCGTTACTTATTTCATTAAATAACAGACTTGTAAATATATTTGGTAAATGGTTACGCCAACGCCTTATTTGTTGGCGAATAATATTATTGAATTTATTTAGCTTGCGGATTTCTAACCCGCGCACACAGAATTATTAATTAGAAAATCGCCATTGTATTTGCATTACACTTAACGGTATAAGAATATTGGTTGGTATACTTGTAGGAATGATTAAAATAACTTTAAAATCTCGCATGTTGCATTGTCCGTAATGGGCACAGCGTTGCTACTTTAGTTTACACGACACATATAAATATGAACAAATGTGTATGTGTATGCATTAGCAACAAACCCCAGCGGAATGCTGTACATTCCACACTATCACAGCGCACAGCGATCATATCGTATATGTACATACTTATATACTGTGTACTATAAACGTTTATTTTGCTGCTTCTGGCCAAGCGCTCAAATACCAGTCTATTGTAGATACTAGTCGAGCAATAACTTTGGCCGGCACATAATATTGAGAGTCCAATTAACATACAAACATGAATGTAAGCATTGTTGGTGCTTAGAACAGGTTTCGGAATAAATGTCTTCCATTTAAAAACAAAAAGTGTATTGAAATTTGTTTAATGAAAATTTTTATTCTGTAAATTGGTTTAAAATTTTATTGATTAATGTACCGATATGTACTGTAGATGAAGCGCTGGAGTAAACCTAGTGTGCGCTCTTCGTAAATATTTATTTTAAATTCCGAAATACATACTTATGTATTATTGTATGAGACCATGAATAACATATATTTCCACCCRTATGTTTTAATAAACCGATCACAAAACACTTTGAGAGCTTTTTAGGCCAAATGGATCCAAACAAAATATATATTATATTTAAATAACAGAAACACTTTACTCACACGCGAAAGCTATTAAACTTTTTATAATTCATAAACATATGTACTTATGTATGTGCGTATATAAACGAGTATAAGAAAACTTATACATGAGTATTTGCCTCTATATTTTGTATGAAAAAAAAATAAACAGAAAAACACTTCTCTACTAAAAAGTCCGAATGAATTGCGGTTTAAACCGAAAGCTAACCACAAGTACGTTGTGGCAAGCCGAAACCTCAAGAGACGACTGGTGCGATACCTAACTTCAACCACTTATTCAACCAACAGAAGACACTGATCTTCGTAACAGAAGAACAGCAGAATAGTCACAGCAAATATTGAAAATTATAAATACAGTGGTAATAACTAATATTTGAGTGAAGAAAATTTACATACCCAAAAGGAAAATTTTAATTTAACTTAAGTTCGGATTAGTTTTAGTGTGCAATGCAGACAGTTGTAAATGTTTTACCACCACCTTAAAAATATCCCTGGATTTGATTCTTGCAAGTTGCAAAAGTMTAAAATGTTCATTTCCTTACGATTTTATCAATTCCTTACTTGTTTTTAGTTTATTTTACCCCATCACTTTTGTTATCTCTAAATTTATCTCTTGGTGTGTAGTAATGATTCGGCATAAAAACAGTTACAGTTTGTTATGCAATGATGTTTTATGGATCTCAAATAAATTTTATATGCCCCAAATACCAAAAATCGGGTTGAGTTAGCATAAAGAAATAATTATTTTTAATGTAAAGCATTACTACTGCGGCAGTTCATAATTGAAAGCATGGATTTTAAATAAAAACAGGATATAACAGAAAACAGTTTTTAAAGTCGCCCGCAGCAAAATATTTAACAATACACAAAATATAGATATTACAATTAAATTACATTTACTGTTTAGGTACACCAATTTATTCCTGAACATATTTAGTCTCCAGTACTAATTAGTTAAGAAAGWGAAGAGAAAATACCATTTTCAAATAATTTAAATCAAAATCTAATTAACAATTGACACACTAAGGAAAAGTAAAATAATACAACCACAAATAAATAACCAAATATATTTAGGCTGTTCACGGTAAGGTGGTTATCGGGTTATGTGGTTATTAGATTAAAAATAACCTCTATGATCCGTGAACATCCCATATTGTATGGTTATATGCTTATTTTCACACAAACAGCTGTTCATTGTTTACATTTAAAGTTCAATGAAATTTCTACTTATAAAATGCCTAAACAAAGTTTAAAAAGCAACATAATTGAATTTAAAATAAGTTCTGCTATTCAGGAAATGGACTTTATTGAAGGTATGTGCTTATTAAATAATCCGAGTTTTAAGAGTTTAAAAGATTCTTTGTACAAAATTTGCAGACATCTTGCGCCTGAACAGTGTCACAATGCAATTATAAACAAAAAAACAGCTGTTAATAGCAGAATTTCCAATTAGATAATATAAATGGAAATGCCATTGGCTTAGATTTATTTATTTTTTGTGCTGCCATTTAGTAAAACTCCAACGACTTTCTAACACTGGAAATAAGCAAACAACCACATAATCTGTAAACCAGGGTCTGGGTTGGTCAAAGTTGGTTATTTTGTCATACCGCATTTTGTTGTTGTTTACTTAATCACATAACCCGATAACCATCTTATGGTGAACAGCCAAATTGTTATGGGCTTATATACTTGTATGTACATAATCAGGGTGACAACAAAAGTTGAAATCTAGGTGACTGTCTGGTTGTCCTCCTTTCCTTAAGTAAAAATTGAGATATTTTAATGGAACTTGGTATGTGGGTTCCGTAAAAAAAATTAGTTCGTCGATGGGCCTAAGTACAAAAAAAAAAGCCGAGTTCATCGATGGACGCCACGGACGGTCGAACCATTTCGACGCTCACAAATCGTTATTGTGAGATATAAAACTCTAATTTGGTCGCGGGTATCGCAGTGGTTAGAGGCACTTGTGGGCAAAAACTTTCAAAAAAGTGGTCGTGGGCCAGCCATTTAATAACTTTAATGTACATATCCTTTAAGAATTTCTACCGACGGTGGAGGATACCCACGCTCACTTCCCATATAACGGTACTGTTAAAAACTACTAAAAATGCGATAAATCAATAAGTGAATACGCCAAAACATTAAACTTTACTCCCGAGATAGTATGAGAAGGCTTTATGGGAGCCGGTGTGAAAATTGGACGATGGGCGTGGCACCGCCCACTTTTTGGTGAAATTCCATACCTCGGGAGAAGACCAACCGATTTCGATAAAATTTATTACGGGGCATACCTCTTACATTCTTATGTCACATTCCGTAATCGGACCACAACCACGCCTACTTCCCATATAGCACAATTATAAATTTCACTTGATTCGTTCAGCTTCAGGTACAGAAATCTAGAAGCAATTAAAATTATATAATGGGATAAAACTTTGCACGAATAATGTTTGTAGTATGTGCCACCTTGCTACAAAAAATTCAATAAAAACTGTTCAAGCCCTTAGGTGCCGAATATTTAGACCCCGGTACCTATAGTTCACTTTTGATCGAAAATGTCGTTCAGTGTGTGATTTCTTCTTTTTAATTGGAGTAGACACCGCTTATGCGATTATAGCCGAGTTAACAACAGCGCGCCTGTCGTTTCTTCTTTTCGTTCCGGGCGGCAATTGGATATTCCAAGCATAGCCATGTCCTTCTCCACCTGGTTTTCCAACGAATTGGTTGTCTTCCTATTCCTCTACTTCCCCCGGCGGGCACTGCGTCGAATACTTTCAGAGCTGGAGTGTTTTCGTCCATTCGAACAACATGATCTAGCCAGCGTAGCAGCTGTCTTTTAATTCGCTGAACTATATCTATGTATATATATATCTATATCCCGTACAGCTCATCGTTCCATCGAAGGCGATATTCGCCGAGGCCAACGAACAAAAGGCCGTAAATTTTTCGCAGACTTTTCTCTCAAAAACTCGCAACGTCGACTCATCAGTTGTTGTCATCGTCCAAGCCTCCGCACCATATAGCAGGACGGGAATTATAAGTGACTTATAGAGTTTAGTTTTCGTTCGTCGAGAGAAGACTTCTCAACTGCCTACTCAGTCCGAAGTAGCACCTGTTGGCAAGAATTAAACTGCGTTGAATTTCCAGGCTAACATTGTTGGTGGGGTTTACAATGGTTCCCAAATATACGAAATTATCTACAACTTCAAAGCTATGACTGTCAACAGCGACGTGAGTGCCAAGACGCGAGTGCGACGACTGTTTGTTTGATGACAGGAGATATTTCGTCTTACCCTCCTTCACTGCCAGACCCATTTGTGTTGCTTCCTGGTCCAGTCTGGAAAAAGCAGAACTAATAGCAGGAACAGTCAAAAACGCTACTGTCTTCCTCCCTTTTCCTTCCTCATCGGCAAAATGTGTGCCCAGTGAAAAACTTGGCAAAAACGCATAATTCAGCCATCTTTGTTTGTTTTCATTTGCACAATGTTGCCATTGCTCAATACGCATATATAGTTTTGTACACATCTATGTTTTCAATTACAATTTTTATAATATAAAATATCAAAACTGAAAACAAACAATTAAAAATATTTTATATATTTATAAATAATAGCATTCGACTCTGATTTTGAGTTATTTTAAGAAAATTTCAAACATATTGAACAGATTGAATTATAAAAGTTGATAATTACTACAGTATATAGATATTGGCAACCCTGGGTTGTGAGAGAGCAATCAGCTGACACGTTTAGACGGCAAAAACCAAAATTCTGTAGATTCTCACGTCAACCTCAGCTGACACGAGCCACGATTCTGCGTTTTTGACTGTTTCGGCGCGAGTGTTGAGGCCGATGATATCAAGTCGCACGATAGGGAGTCGCCTTGTCTGAAACCTCGTTTTGTTTCGAACGGCTCGGAGAGGTCCTTCTCGATTCTGACGTAAGCGTTTGGTGTTGCTCAAAGTCAGTTTACACAGCCGTATTAGTTTTTCGGGGTTACCAAATTCAGACATCGCGGCATAGAGGCAGCATCCTTTTCAACGAAGAGGTGGTGAGTGTCGATTCTCTTTTCACGGGTATTTCCCAAGATTTCGAGCATGGTGAATATCTGGTCGGTTGCTGATTTTCCAGGTCTAAAGCCATGGAGGATGGAGTCATGTGTAAAAGTTCACGCAAATGAGGAAATTTCTCTGATCGCCATTCACTTGGGAGTGGCCAGAAACGATTCTTTTACATATGGCTCAAGCAACTCACGACTTC